CAGGGAGGTTCAATGTCATCAAGAAGGCAAGTGAAGGACACCTGCAAAGGCTGGGCATTGTCAGTGGTATCGAGTTAAGGAGACGTCAAAGAGTGGGAAGACCAGGAAAAGGGGTCCTGGACACCACTAAGTTTATCAATTGAGAGGCCCTTTTTACTAAAATGAGGCAGTTACAGCATGGGCTGCTGGAGAGGGAATAAAAAGTAGGATCCTAGAATACTCATTCACAAAGCAAGAAATCAAGCCAGGTTTCATGCCTGTAATCCCTGGACTTGGGGAGGACAAGATGGAAGGATTGCTTGAGGCCAGGAGTTCAAAACCAACCTAGGCACATAGAGAGAACTTGTCACCACCAAAAAAAAAAAAAAATGTTTTTAAAGAGCCAGGTGTGGTGGCGTGCACCTGTAGTCCCAGCTACTCGGGAGGCTAAGGAGGAAGTATCTCCTGTGCCTAGGAGGTAGAGGCTATAGTGAGCCATGATAGTGCCACTGCACTCCAGCCAGGGCAACAGAGTAAGACACCACACATACATTTTTTTCCAAGTTTGCTTACTTCCTCTTCTTACAAAAAAAAAATTTTTTTTTCACTAGGTCTTTTCAAATAAAACCACTTTTCTTTTTCTATTTTACTTGTTTTTTTATTTTGAAGACGGGTACAATTCAGGGTTAGATATACACATGTTCATTATGCAGGTACCTTTGTTAATGAGGTATACACCCACTCTTCCCCTAGCAGTAATCAGAGCCTTCTCTGAGCAGGCATTTCTTTTTATTTTATTTTATTTTTTTAGTTGGAGTCTCACTTGGTCACCCAGACTGGAGTGTAGTGGCCGTTCCCGGCCACCGCAGCCTCGTCTGCTGGGCTCCGGCAATCATTCCGCCTCAGCCTTCCAAGTAGCCGGAATTACAGGCATGCGCTACCACGCCTGGCTGATTTTTTGTAGAGATGAGGTCTCGCTGCCCAGGCGGGTCTCGAACCCACGGGATCAGGCAATCCACTCACCTTAGCCTCCCAAAGGCGTGGGATTACAGGCTGAGCCACCGAGCCCAGCTTGAGCAGGCATTTCTATGTAGCTACAACATAATACCTTTAAGGCAGTCACAAAAAGTTTTCTTTTTCTTTTTTTTTTTTTTAGTTGGAGTCTCACTCTGTTTCCTAGGCTGAAACCATCACAGCTCACCACAGCCTCGATCTCCTGGGCTCAGGCCTTCTGCCTCAGCCTCCAGAGTAGCTGGGACAACAAGAATGAGACATTATGCCCAGCTAATTTTTTTTTTTTTTGTATAAACTTGGTCTTGCTATGTTGCCCAGGCTGGTCTCGAACTCCTGGGCTCAAGAGATCCTCCCACTTCAGTCTCCCAAAGTGCTAGGATTACAGGTATGAGCCACTAAGCCCAGACTCAGAAAGTTTTCTAAGATACTTTGTTACTTAAGCTATCTGCATTTTATTACATTTTAATTTATAATCATTGACAGAGAATAAAAGACCTAACTTTTAAAAAAAGAAAAAGAAACAACTAGGTTATTAAATTAATCACAGCATCAAATTTCTGAAATATGCCAAGGAATTAGGAGTTTACTGTAGCATAAGAAACATTTTCATTGTGAAACTGCAGAGCAGCATCTACCACACTGTAACATCCATCTGCTTATCTTGCTGTACCAGGTAATGGATACCGAAAAAGACATGATCCCATACAGAGAAAGGCAAGCAGATCAATGTTAAATCATTTCAATATTTAAATGTCAAAAGTCAGCAGCGCTGTAATTTTAGAAAGGCATTAGCCATAACCATCCAAGCACTTCCCAAGGGACAAAGGGCTTCAGTCAACAGACACCAAGTGCTGCCGCTGTTTGGTGGCAGTCCCCTCACCGTGAGATGAACACATCCAGCAAAGAAAGACAGGTGCCACAAAGTATTCAGTTCCTTTCATTCCCAAGTTTCTGAGCTTTTCTCCACTGAAAACCACATGATTTTGTCCTGCTTCCAATGCAGGTTTACCAAAAATCATAGTACATTCTGGTGAGGCAAACACCCTTGTGCTGGATCCCATAATAATCATGTGTCTCATGAAAAATGACAAAAGACCTTTGTGGTTAGGATTTTGCTTCCTAAGTAACTTGACTACAAAAGAAAATAGACTGAACATAGCAACACAAGTGTTCAGGTTTGAGTGACAGTGAAGGGATTTCTTATAGGAGGCAGGAACAGGCATTCATTGTCATTCTCCTATTAAATTTACCATGAGTCTAACCCTGAGCCATGCGTCCACTATTATCAAAGACTCTGGGCCCAAAAGTCTGACACACAGACCATGCCCTACAGGATTCTCAAAGTTAACAGACATCATGCAGAATGCATCCAGGTGATGGACTTCCTGTGATGGACACCACCTTTTGCATCCTGCATAGAGCAAGTAACTGCATTTTCATCTTATGAATTGCTATACCAAACACCCATTATAGTTTCTCAGAAGTTGGATGATCTCTGGTTTCTTTTAGCAAGTTTAGTTTGGAATTCAGCTAACAGAGAATTCAGTTAACTCTTCATTTCTCAAAGAAGAAAAAAAAATTTTCTGAGTTGGAGTTTTACTTTGTCACCCAGGTTAGAGTGCAGTGACATGATCATGGCTCACCACAGTCACGACCTCCTGGGCTCAGGTGATCCTTCTGCCTCAGCCTCCCAAGTAGCTGGGAAAACAGGAATGCACCACCATGCTCAATTCATCTTTTTTTTTTTTTTCCTTTTTTGGTAGAGATGGGGTCTCTCTATGTTGCATAGGCTGGTCTCAAATGGCTGCACGCAAGTAACCTGACTCAGCCTCCCAAAGTGCTGAGGTTACAGGCCACCACACCTGGCCTCAAACAAAAAAAAATTTTTTCCCAATGCATTCAACTTTGAACAGTAAGTCACTAAAAGTTCATTTTTTTTCCTAACAAGGAACAAAAAGATTTTGACAAAATATAAATAAAATTCATATTTGTATCATGAACTCCAGAAATTAACACAGAGGTTCTCCCAGAAGACTACAGGAAAGAAACTGATTAGAGAAAATGAAAGGACCCAGAAGAAACCTTCAGAACTCTCAGCAGGGAAGGTAGAAGAGACAATCTCATCACCACAGAACAGATGGAAACCACCACACATGACTGAGAAGAATCAAAAATTAGTTTCCAGGCTGGTATGAGAGGCGGTAACAAAGACTGGTGATGCTTAGTAATTTTAGCAGTCAGCTCAGCTAACAGACACTTCAGCAAAACAAGGTAAACCGTGTTACTGCTAATGGAAAATGATAGATTCACCACAATCCCAAGTCTCCAACAACATTCACAGGGGAGACTAATTGTGGCCACCTGATTTTTGTAATTGTTTTATTCAATACCCAAAAAGGCATAGGCAAAGATGAGGATCCATTCCCCTACCCTTTCCTGAGAGAGGCAATGAGCACAGAGACAGGTCCTCACAAGAGACTACAAGAAAAAATGAGAGTCTACATTGCAAATTTTGGCCCCTAAAATACACCCATTAAACACATGTACTTTTCCTCATCAAATAAGGTTAGCACAGATCCCATTCCAGCCACAACTGCACTTAGGTGTCCATCCATGCCAAGAATTACAGTAGAAACAGAATTTTCTTTCAGTTAGTCCTGTTATTCAAATCACTGTGAAGACTGTTACAGCATCCCACAAAGTCAGGAAGCAAATCACAAGATACTGACTCAACAAGTGAGGACCCTTTGACTTGTCTACAAGCCTTTTCATCACACTGTTGAAGGATACCTTCAACAAATTCTTTAAACTCATTTCCTAACCCTATGGACTGTATCATCTCTTAAGAAGTAAGTTCTTAGGAACTTCTTCACCTGGTAAGATACACTGATGTTAAAATTTCAAGCACAGTGCCTTCAGTTATGGGGCATAACAACCCCAAAGACACTAACTTGTGGTCATGTAAAACCTCATTCCATAATCACTTTATCTTCTCCAACTCTCAAAGGATTCTAGATTAAAACTGGCACTCTTCTGCTTTTTTCTAGTCTCTGAGGCAAACAACATGAAACAACTGTCCTCCAACTAAGTTTAATTTCTCTTTCCCCAGTTTGCCAAAAATGCCACAGGGAAGAAAACAAAACAACTAAGCATTTGTTTGAGTCTTTGCCAAGAAAAGTTTCCCCCATCCTCTTGATCACACAAATTATCTCTTTAAAAAAAAAAATCCTCTTCCATGTGAAAACAAAAGTGAATAGAACCCTATTTTTGCCTTTTCCAAAGCCCTGCTTTATAGGTATACTCTAATTGGGCCTGCATGCCGCTTCCTTCTCCAACCTACTAGGAACTTTTACGCTGGCTGGAGCAGAGACCTCACAAGAAGGTAACAGTTAAAGCAATGTTCAGGCGGCAGTAACATCGATCCCAAAGGGAATGCTCTCAGTTTTTCAACAGATTAAACTATGGAATGTATCCAAGAGGAGAAAATAAAAGGAAATGAAAATACAATCACAGCTACTCTCAGTGCACCTGTGAAAGCCAATACTGCAGGGTTTCGCCTGTGGAACCGGGGTGTTGAATTTTAAATAAGGTTCCCTATAATCTGGCAAGTTACTTAACATGTCTCAACCTTCATTTCCTTAACTATTAAATACCTAACACCCGTGTACTACAGAAGACTATGATGATTAAACAGCATGTGTTGAACATAAAAAGTGTGCTATAGGATAATAGCAAGAAAACAAGAAAACCTCAAATGATTATGAAGCACACAAAATTTAATCACAAAATTCTACCAACGATAGGCCTTTTCCATTTAACATTTGATCACATATAATTCACTCTCTATCAAATAGTGTTTGGGCTTCTGGCATTATCTCACAATATTCCTTCTGTCTGTAATTTACATATAAATATCTTTCTATGTGAAGCCAACTCCAACCTACTAATCTTTCCAAATCTGTTAATCTCCCCAACCTTCTGCAAGTTAAATACTTATGTGGTTCCCTTAGCATTTTGTTCATGTCCCTATTAAATATTTTATGCTATAATGAGAAGTAAATATACCCCAATACTTGCTACAGAATTTGTTCATAGGGGCAGGAATCCTATCCTGGCTCTATATAACCAGCCTATCAGTGCTGAGCACACTTTAGGTAATAAGTGAGGTTTATGATTGAATGAAAGAATATATTGTCCCTTTTATTCACCTTCTAAAAGAGTGGAGGAAAAAAATCAAACAACTTCTGCTGGACACAGTGGCTCACACCTGTAATTCCAGCATTTTAGGTGGCCAAGGCAAGAGGATTGCTTGAGCCCAGGACTTTAAGATCAGCCTGGGAAACATAGCAAGACCTTGTCTCTACAAAAAAAAAAAAAACTGAAAAATTAGCCAGTCGTGATGGTGGTACACACCGTAGTTTCAGCTACTCAAGAGGCTGAGGCAGAAGCACTGCATGAGCCGAGGCTATGGTCAGCCATAGTCATGACTGTGTCACTGCACTTCAGCCTGGGCAACAGAGTGAGATCCAGCCTCAAAATAAAAATAAATCAAACATTTTCTAAAGTAATTTCTATTTCAATAATAGTAAGTTAAAATTTTCACATGGAAATTTTTATTTTATACTCATCATCAACCACAAAACTGTTTCTATGTACCTTTACATAATACTTACTGGCTGGAACAATGAAATCTCCATGTAACTCATAGGTCATAAGGGGTTCTGGAAGACTCCTGTGTGAAAAGGACAGCTTAGAATTACCAAAGGAAGCCAAACAGGTCATCTCTCTCTGAGGTTTTTTAATACAACAATGTTAAACATGTTGTACATTTCTTAATTAATAACATTTCTTAATTAATATGCGGAACTTCCCTAGGGAATACCTTTACATGTCAAAAAAAACCAAAACATCAGTCAGATGGATCACTTTCTTAACTGCTGTCTGCACCAGGCACTATCAAAGCTTAAGCAGCTACAAGTCCCTATCAGATCTAGTCATACAGTCTTTCATATCTCATCTTGGAAAGCACCTTTAAAAACAGCTCCTTTTACATATAAAACTTCCTTACACATGTTAATGCACTTCAAGTCAAACATTCCATCTAACCAAACATAAGCACATAATGTTGAAAAATCACCTCTAAGATATTAATTGAAGGTGCCACCAAAAATACATAGGAAAGATTAAACAAAGATAAAGAAATAAAATCCTCCTCTTAAATATCTCTATTATAAATATAAGAATGTTTTATCTTTATGCCTATAAAATAAGACATATGAAATAAAATTGATGACTTTAAAAATGTACACATCATTTTCATGTTCTACAAAGAGTTACATGGATGGTAACAAATTTTATCATGTAATCAACAGAATGCTGTGGTTCAGTCAGCCTTGCAACCAAGATTTTATTTTATTTTATTTTATTTTGAGTCAGAGTCTCACTCTGTTGCCCAGACTGGAGTGCAGTGGCACGCTCACGGCCACCTCAGCATCAACCCACTGGGTTCAGACGATCCTTCTGCCTCAGTCTTCCAAGTAGCCGGAACTACAGGCGCATGCTACCATGCCCGGCTAAGTTTTTGATATATTGTAGAGATGAGGTCTCACCAAGTTGCCCAGGCTGGTCTTAAACCTCTGGGCTCAGGCAATACTCTTACCTCAGCCTCCCAAAATGCTGGGATTACAGGCTTGAGTCACCGCTCCCAGCCCTAACTTATATTTTGAAGACCAGATCACCTAACTTTGTAAAAACTTAAAGAACACCTAGACAAGAATCAATCTGCACAGCCTTTCTGGAGGGCAATCAGGCAAAATATTAAGAATTTTTTAAAAGATTGAAATCTAATAACTGAGAAATTCCTCTTCAAATGTTACCCAAAAAATCAAAGATGCAGGCAAAAAAATTTTTTCTAATACATGCAAAAGTCAAGAATATTGCCAGGGATAAAGAAGAACATTTATATACCTAACCCTGAATTGTACCTCACATCTTTAAAGAAGGAAGGAAGGAAAGAAGGAAGGAAGGAAGGAAGGAAGGAAGGAAGGAAGGAAGGAAGGAAGGAAGGAAGGAAGGAAGGGAAGGAAGGATGGACAAACATACTGGTAAAAGGGTCAATTCATCAAGAAGCCAAAACAATACCAAATCTAATAACAGAGTTCCAAAATACATGAGACAAAAAAGTGACAGAACTGCAGGGAGAAATAACAAAAACCAGAGATTTAAATACTTTTCTATCTCAGCAACTAACAGAAAAAGTAGATGAAAAATCAGTTAGGATATGGAAGATTTGGACAAAACTATCAACCAACTTCACCTAATCATACAGTCTAAGTGATACTCCACCCAAAAGCAACAGAACACACATTCCCAGTTCTCATGGACTATTTGCCTTCCAAGATAAACCATATTCTGGGCCATGAAACAAACCTCAATAAATTTAAAAGGTTCAAGTCACACAGAGTATGTTTTTTGATTACATTAAAAATCAGTAAAAGAAAGATATCTGGAAAACCCCAAAGAGAGGGAAATTATGAAGTATTTTGAACTGAATGAAATAAAAGCGTATGTCAGGATTTGAGGGATATTGGTTAAGCACTCCTCAGAGGGAATTTTATTCCACTAACAGCTATATTAGATAAGAAGAAAGGTCGTAAACCAAAGACTTCTCTTTAACCTTAAAAAGCTAGGGAAAGAAAGAGTAAATTAAGTCCAATGTAAGCAGAAAAGCAGAAATAATAAAGATCGGTGCATAAATCAATGAAATGAAAAAGTAAAAAATAGAGAAAATAAATTAATTCAAAGTTGGTTCTTGGAGATGATCAATAAAACTGATAGATCTAGTCGTATTATGAGAAATAGAAAAGAAAACACAAATGACCAATGTCAGGAATGAGAATGGCAACTGCAAAATCACTGCAAGTTCTGATATTAAAAATAAGAGTGAACAATTTTATGTCCATAAACTCATCAGTTTAGATGAAATGAACAAATGCCTTGAAAGACACAAACTACCAAAGCTCATTCAAGAAGAAATACATTTCTCTTTGAAACTTCTTGTGCAAAAGAAAATTTTAAAAATAGGTAAGTTGAGTAGTCCTTTATCTGTCAGAGAAACTGAATTTGTAGTAAACAATCTTGCTGGTAAGAAAATGGTGGGCCCAAATGACTTTGCAAATGAATTTTACTAAATAATTAAGGGAAAAAAATAACAATTCTATACAAATTCTTTCAGAAAATAGAAGAAATAATTTTAACTCATTCTGTGAAGTAAGAATTACCCTAATACCAAAATTTAAAGATGTTACAAGAAAACTATAGGCCAGTATCACCTATGAACATACAGGCAACTATTCTAAATAAAATACTAGTAAATCAAATGAAACAAGATAAATAAAAGAATAATAAATCATGACCAAGTTGGGTTTATCACAAGAATATGGTACTAACTTAATAATTTTTTAATGTAATTCACCATACTAACAAACTAAAAAAAGAAACACTGTATGATCATCTCAATAGAACATTTAGGAGAAAAAACAGTCTTTTCCACAAACTGCAGAACAACTGCATACACAAAAATGAACATGAATCTCATACCTTTTATAAAAATTTACTCAAAATGGATCACAGATCTAAGGGTAAAACTGAAAATTATAAAACTTCTAGAAGAAATTATAAAAGAAAACCTTTGGTTGGGCACAGTGGCTGCAATCCCAACACTTTTGGAAGGCGAGGTAAGGGGATTGTCTGGATCCACGGATTCGAGAACAGCCTGGGCAACTGGGCGAGACCTCATCGCTACAATAAATCAAAAAATTAACCGGGTGTGGTAGCATGCCTGTAGTTCCGGCTACTTGGAAGGCTGAGGCAGAAGGATCGCCTGAGCCCAGTGGGTTGACTCTGGGATAACCATGAACAAGTCACTGCACTCCCAGCCTGGGTGACAGAGTGGAACTCCAACTCGAAAAGAAAAGAAAAGAAACAAACTTCCGTGACCCAGGTTTAAGTGAAAACTTCCTGGTACAGCACCAAAAGAAATAAAAAGAAAAACTGATAAACTGGACTAAATCAAAATTAAAATTTCTCTTTGAAACACAATAAGGGTTGGGCTCAGTGGCTCAGGCTGTAATCCCAGCAATTTGGAAGGCTGAGGTAAGTGGAATGCCAGAGCTCGTGGGTTCAAGACCAGCTCAGGCAACTTGGCGAGACCTCATCTCTAAAATAAAAAATAAAAAATTTTAAAAATTATCCAGGCATGGTAGCAAGCACCTGTAGTACCAGCTACTTGGAAGGCTGAGGCGGAAGGTTTGCAGAGCCCAGCAGGCTGACACTGGGGTGGCCATGAGTGTGCCATTGCACACCAGCCTGGGCGACAGGGTGAGACTCCAACTCAAAAAAAAAAAAGAGAAAGAGAGAATAAGAATGAAAAGACAAGTCACGAACCAATGAAAACATCGGCAAAGCATATATCTGAGAAAGAACTTATATCCAAACCAAAATATACATATATTCATATATATGCATATGTGTGTGTGCGTATACTTATATACATATATCCTAAACTTTCAAAACACAATAATATGACAATCTTAAGTTTTTAAAAATTGGGCCAAAGCCGGGCTCGGTGGTTCAGCCTGTAATCTCGCGCCTTTGGGAGGCTGAGTTGAGTGGATTGCCTGAGCCCGCGGGTTCGAGACCTGCCTGGGCAACTTGGCGAGACCTCATCTCTACAATAAATCAAAAATTAGCCGGGCGTGGTAGTGCACGCCTGTAGTTCCAGCTACTTGGAAGGCTGAGGCGGAAGGATCGCCGGAGCCCAGCAGGTCGAGGCTGCGGTGGCCAGGAGCGGCCATTGCACTCCAGTCTGGGTGACAGAGTGAGACTCCAACTCAAATAAAAAAAAAAAAATTGGGCCAAAGATATGGACCATTTACCCAATAATACATAGAGATGACAAATAAGCACATGAAAAAATATTCAACATTACTAGTCATTAGGGAGGTGAAAATTAAAAAGCGTAATAAGATACTACCATACATCTATTAGAACGACTACAATTAAAAAGACTGAGCATCTCAAGAGTTGGCAGATGTAAAGGAAGTAAGACTCTTATACAGTGTCAGTGGGAACATAAAGAAGTACATTAACTATGGAAAAAAGTCTGCCAATTTCCCAAAAAAATCAAGCATACACCTACCCCAGGGTCCAGATATTTCACTCCTGGAACTTATCCAAGAGAAATGAAAAACTATGATCATCCAAAGGTTTGTACGCAAATTTTTTAGTAGCCTTGTGCACAATAGCCAAAAGCTACAAATAACCCAAATCTCCATAAACAGATGAATATATTTTTTTAAATTGTGGCATATCCATACAATGGACCACTGGTTAGCAGTAAGAAGGAGTTAACTACTGATATATGCTACAAAATAGGTAAGTCTCAAATGAATTATGTTAAGTGAAAGAATCCAGATTGAAAGAAAAAAGAAGCATACACAGTATGATCCCATTTATATAAAATCACAGGAAATGCAAATTAGTGCATAATGACAGAAAGTAGATCAATGGCTACCTACGGATGAGACCCGTGAGAGGGGAGGGAGGCAAAGGAGGGATATTAAAGAGAAGGAGGAAAGTTTTGGGGGTGATGGATAGATTCACTATCCTGATTACGGTGATGGTTTCACAGGTGAATAGATCAAACTCATCCAAATGTATACAATAACTATG